AAAAAAAAAAACGTCATAATTAACAATTGGAGACAATCTCCGACTAAGGATATATTCTAGCGAGTACTACGTATTTGCCACGATGTTGCATAATCCATTGCGAAAATCCTCAAACGAATAAATTAAATGACAACATAAGATGGACTGAAATATTAACGTAACGTAATAAACAAGGACCCGTATTCTTGTCTCCATTTTTTTAGAATGATAAAAATAGTGAGTCGTTACGCTTTATATATTATACACTTCGAATATATGAATATACGAGTAACATTACGTACAGAAGCAAATACAAGAAAAAAAAAAAAACGCAGGCATCTTGTCGTTAAATTGTAAGATATTGTGTTCAAACTCCAGAATGTAATCTGACCCCTTCCTCAGACTACTATATATTAATTATATTGTGCACTATGCTCCAACTTGTCCATACGAATAAATATATTGAAAAATCTTACTATTATACAGTATCCTCGATCGGTACACTGTCGTCCTTTTAATGAGTTCGCGTCTTTTCAAAGTTCCTCCCTTCTCACATTGACACGAACAATTTCTCACACGATTTTCTTTCTTCGTTTTTTCTTTTGTTTTATCGCATCAACAATAGTTGTTATATTTCCTTGTCAAACAATACTTTTACAATTTTTATCTATTTACATACATAATATATTCATACACGCTGCTAGACGAAATTCACTTCATTTGAGAACCCCTGTGTGGACTAGCGAGCGAGAATGTACATTCGTGACACGATAGTCATTCTTAATCGTATAATACAGAGGTAATTGTTACATTTCTGTCGATATATGTTCTTTGTACAGATACGTTACTCTTATTTTCATAACATCTACAAAAAAAAAAACAAATATGATAAATTGCAATGTACTTCTAACGACACAAGGTTATATTTCATAACCTAAACATTTCGTTTGATATGCTTATGGCACGAGTTTCAATCACGTCGAAGTGCTACCGGTACCGTAACACTGACTGGATTATATAATTAATATATTGGACAGTTTTTGAAACATTACTTTTATACAATGGATGAAATAGCATATAAATTAGAATCGACGAATCCTGTATTAATATCACACGTAAGTTGCTCGTTTCTTCTGCAACTGTTATTTATCACATGGTATATTCAACTTCAATGTATCTCTCTACGCAGGCAACGTCTAAACTCTTTGAATCTATTAAGAAAAAGAAGTGCGAGCAACAAATGGATCATATTTCTAAGGTAAAATACGTTCGATTATCATACTTCGCTTTTAATTTTCTGATTTACTAATTCTGTTCGTTCATCGATTTAAGCAGATACCCGAGTTTAAGTTATTACTAACAAAAAAGGATAGTACGAATGTCACGCTTAGTATATCCGCCTGTCAAGCCTTAATTGCTCTGGTTGAAAATGGATTATGGAACATTAACGAGGCATTATCTACATTTATTTCGAGTATCTCTTCTATAAAGTATAGAAATTCATTTATTTTATGAGAAACATATTCCTTTTTAATATTGTTCTACAACATGACACATATTTTAGAAATTATATGGTTGCTACAACAACCATGAGTCATTTGTTAATATTAGATTTAAAACGCAGTACAGAAAATGAAACTATATATCCATTTACATTACATACACCACAACACCCTTTTATCATCATTTTAAATCAAAACAAAGATAGTTGGCAGACTATATTAAGTCAAATGACATTTATTCTGAATCATCAAGATACCCGGTATGTATAGAAATATTATACATATGTATTTAGACATGTGTATGCATTTATAGTTGTGTATATATTTTTTTCATATTTTAGGATTAAAAACAATAGTATAAAAATGTTACGACCAGTATTTTTGTATATTTTATGCAATCCTTCGTCAAATTCATTGGATTGCTGTATGCAACAAGTTTGGCAACTGTTAATTAAATCAAAGCATGATTCACATGTGCAGACTGAAATTTTATTTTGGTTGTGTACAGTGGAAAATCATTCTTGCATAAATACAAACTATAGAATCTTAGAGCTTGCAGAAAAAGCTTCTTTAGAAAAAAATAGGGAATATTGTACAGCTTTATTACCGATAATTGTGTCTTTGACTATACAATTATTGAAACAAGGTTCTGATCCAGAACCAAATTTTCATGTTATATTTCTCATCATAGACCACTGTGATAATTATATAGGAAATCTCATGTTAACGTTAATGGCAGAAGTAATTGCTTTATGTCCAGCTATTTATTTGCATAGTACTTTGCAAATATGTAAGTATTTTTCAATTTGATTTTTACCGGTTTTTCTAAATATGCATGTTTGTTATAATAAATTTAGATTATTATATTACAGGTGTGAGAATAATAAAGAAAATGTCTTACGACGATATATTTTTTAATACTTTGATAGCGACTATTGTGAAATGGATTGCATATCCGTCTGTATTATGTTCTACGGCATTAGACATGGCGAAAGATTTAGCTAACCAGATGTTTGTAAAAACAAGATTAACGTGCGATAACGAGATAATATTCTCAAATAAACTCTTTACAGTTTTTTTCCATTCCGATCCATACATTCAATTTTATACGGAGTTAGTGCATTGCTTGAGTATCTGGAATCAGAATGATATATTATCATGGTTGAACAATATGTCACGCGCACCGATTTACATAAAAGACAAATGTAAACTATTGATATCTGGTCTTCTTTTACAGTCAAACGATTCATTGATAGTCAAACCATGTTGTAATATTCTCGTTAATGTTAGCAAAGAAACAAAAAATTTCGGATCACATGTACTCTCATTGATATTGCACAAATTAACTAAATGTAAAAGCAGTACAGAATCTAAATGTTTGTTGCTAGTTATACCGGAGCTTATGATTGTGAAGGAGAACGTACCGATTGTTAATCATACCTTGAACGGATTGTTAAACGGTGACAAGCAACTGAAATATTTTATGATAGAACTATATCTGGAAGCATTGAAAAGAGAACCAAGATGTTACAGATTTCTTTATGCTGCGATAATCAAATTGATGGAAAACGATATCTCCTGGTATTCGGATGCGACTTGTGCAAGAGCCACGAAATATATTTGTGAAAATTATCCTGAACATGGGGAAAAATTGATACCTTTTATATTGCAGATATTGAATCGTTCAACGAGCATGAACGGTGGAACCGCAAGCGCGCTCGCGCTTGAATGTATTTCTGCTCTCTGTAAAGCATCTGTAATAGACATTTGCACAACGTGGAAAGTTCTAGCACCGAAAATGGAAAAAGAGAAGCGGCCTGTTGTTTTAAAAAGCTTGTGCAAACTACTCGGTGATGTGGCATTCTACACACCTTCTCAATGCCTTGAAAAACACCACCAAGTCATCGATGATATTGTATCGAGATTATGGAATTACGCAACTTGGAATGATGTAAAAGTAATCAACTCTGCGCTTGAAGCTCTAGCTTCATATCATCTAGAGCAATTATCCTTGAAAACACTACCCATAGAATTTAGATGTAATCTCACGTTACCAGCAACGTATGCAAAAACAGCGACCGACGAGATGAAAAAGCCAGAGGATATACTTCCATATATACCTAGTATTTGTTGGATTCAAATGCTTCAAAACATAAATAAAATGGCTTTGCCAGCAGCTGGTAATCTTTTAATTTCCTTCATAACAGAAGAAGTAAGCAACTTCCGATCCGGCATTTATATGTGGCCTCAAGGAGAACCGCAGAATTTTAAGTATCTACCAGAAAAAAGCGTAATCAGAGCGGTCGGTGAATATTTGAGAAAATCTAATAAATCCGATTCAAGCAATCATCGTATAATTATGGAATGTTTACGAATATTTGCTCATAAATATCCAAAGCCATTACCCAATATAAATTGGAATTTTCTAAAGAATACTTTTGACCTGTCGGCCGAAGCAAAAAAATATACTCTTTCTATCGCGTGTCATCATGCGACGATATCTTTATCTTCAAAATCTTTTGTAGAAAATTATTTGTCAATGTACAAATCTATAAACAATGCAGCAGATTTCGTTTGGGAGGACAATGAACATTCTGTATTATATTTAAATCTTGAAGATTTGTGCCAAACTGTACAACCAAATATCATTAAACCGTTCTTAGAAACTACGTTAGAACATGTAATTAAAAAAATGAACGTTGATAATGAAAATTCGATACAGTTGTTTCATTGCATCATGACTTCTTACGCTCAGACATTGAGAAATCCAGAAGTATGCCATGCTAATTCTACATTGCTTTCCACTATGTTGGAAGAACTTCTGGACAAAATAGATTTAACATGCGATCGGTTTGGTTCTTTCTTCACAGCAGTTTTGGAATTACCAATTAAGCAATTAGAAAGAATGACATCTCCTGAAGTGTGGTGGGAAACAATGCCCAGTAAATTAAAGAATGCAATCGCGATCAGAGCCGAATTGGCTTTAAGGAAATCTAATGCCAAAGCTCCCTTAACATGGTTGAAGGAAATCATCGATGAAACTGTTACTTCTACATCTAGGTAAAATTCTTGATTGTTATTGTAATTTGACTCCTACACTGAACGCACAAGTAAACATGTAATATTTTTCATTAAAGTGTACAAACATATTTTCTCGAAACTATACAAAAAGTACAAACGAATATGCATTTCGAAAGATCAAATTCAAATTGGATTCTGGACCTTATGACACAGGTTCAAGGATTTTTAATGGAATCATCGCAAAATTACAATGATAAAATACAATTCTATTGTAATGTTTTATTTGTCTCTATTGTTAGTTTATCTGGCATAGATTCCATGTTAATGAAACAAGATGAAATAATTAAATCACAAGATGTCAGAATAAAATTATTTCCTCAAGCTCTAATGGTTCTTTCCAATAGAGAGAATTGGAAACATGTAATTCCACAGGTATTCACGATTATTTTTATTTCTTTACAAAATAATCTAACTTAGTGCGAGTAATACTTTAACAAATTAACATATTTTTGTCCAATGAAAGTCATATAGTTACTCCAGAATTAACAGTCTATTAAAAATATTATGTATCTTTTAGGTAATGGAATGGTTAAATTATATGAGAACAAGTGATATTTCTAATACATATAAGTACACGTTTCATCGAGCATTGATTTGCTTAAGACATAATCCATATTATAAAAATGTATGGACTAAATATTTATCGATTAAAACTGACATCGATATTTAATTGCAAGTTGTATATATCGGATAGAAATAATTTCACAAAATGTGTTCGTTACTGCAAATTTAAGATACGAAATTAAAAAGAAAAGCATATTTACGAAGTACCATTAAAACAAAAGTTAATGATATATTTCACTTACTTGCAATTCCATGTAATGTGAGGACCAATGATTATGAATAAACATTTCGTCACATATGTTGTATGTGACGATTTTCATAATGCTAAACAGATGTTTCACTATTATCCAGCATCATAACTGTTAACGTATTTGGACGTGATCCAGTCAATGTTTGATCTTCGAGCAGTTTCATTTTGGGTTCCAATATGTTTCGTTTCGTCTCAATGTTTTTCTTTATAGGCGTACGACTTGGACTAGATTTTCTACTACTGGGATATGATTTCAATAAACGAGCTCTATGGAAACATTTGAGAACATTTCATTCATCATACTGTGGTGAGATATGCTATGATTTTCAAACTTTCACTTTATAATTAAAATGAATCATACTCACGCATCCATTAACTTAAGAAATAAACGGGTATATACTTGATACTCCTCCTCTACAAACTCAGTAGGATCGTGTCGTGCATGTTCATATAAATCACAGAATTGATGAATTAATCTTTGGCCACTTCCATTCAATGGTGTTGCCAATACGGCTAGTAAATATGCTCGTAAATTTTCAGATGGATGTCTTTTTAAGCAATTATCATATTTAGTAATTTCAGCTTCTATAAAAGAAGATCAAAAATCAATTTAAACATATTTTGTTTGGTTGCCATAATAAACATAATTACCCAAGGTCTTAACATCATCTACGGCTTTTAATCTATAATAATGTGGTGGAACCTGTCCTCGCGAAGTTAAAATAAGCCTTGGATCACTAATAAGTTGCGGCTCATATTGAATTCTTGGTATCACTTCTATTCGTCTTTCAATCTCCTTCTTCAGTGACTAAACAATTGAAAATGTGCTGTTTTGACATATACATATAATATATGTGTGCATATAAATGTATTGAAAATATTGAATAATTAGGTAGTATAATTAATATATTTTATAAAATAGTTTTTATCTTAAAACAAACATTATATTTTGTATGTGGATAATACGTATGCTTGAATATGCATGTACATACACACAAATAACTTAACCTCAACTTCATACCTTTCGTGCGTCGTGTCCAATAGGGACATGAGGACCGCGACGTGATCGTAATGTAAATCTCATAATTTGTCGTTTTCCGAATATAAACAACAATAATATTGTTAAAACTCCAACAGCAATGAAAATTACTATAGTTACACCGGAAAGTTCTTCTGTCATATTTGTACTATTCGTATCTATATACAAATTTTAAGCGTACTATGCGCACGCGTTTTATATTTTGATTACACGTGGACTGACTTTTTAAATTACTTTATAATAAAGATAATTGTAGAAAAAATACAACAAAATTTCTTTTCATAACAAAATTTTTTATATTTTGTAATATGAAGCATTTGCATAAGTTACATAGATTTTAGTATATTTTGCATAGGTTTCTTATACAATGTCTGATTAATAGTGGCTATTTCCCACAATAATTCCTTTTGTTCATCTGAAAATTTAATATTTGATTTTATAAAAGATAATACAAGTTTTCCAAAGCTTTTATCCTTGGCAAAATCAATTGCTTTCTCAGATAATAACTGTATGAGTTTATCCTTTAGAGTAATATCTGTTGCAGTAGTAATCAAAGTATGCAGAAAGGAAAGATGCCATGATTTAAGTTCTTTCACTTGTGATAAATATTTCCTATAAAAATTATGTCATTGAATTGTTAATATTTTTTTAAAAATCTGATTGATTAATGATAAAATCAATACTTACTCAATAAGAATAATATGTCTTTCAGGTTCAAAAGTATTTACTATAGCATCAATAATTGTTGTGTCTGTTAAATCAACACTTAAAAGAGGAATAAAAATAAATTGCTGAATATCATTTGGAAATTTTTGAGTGCTTTCTATTAAAACAGATAGAAGTAATCTAGAAGGTTCTTCTAAAGCAATAATCTGCAACAATATTTAATTAATATATAATTGTATTTATGTTAGTGTTATACAAACAGTCTAATTCTTATATCAAATTTTACCTTTGGTAATACTAAATGAGTATAAAAAATTTGTACATATTTAATTCGTTGATTCAAAGTCATATTATTCATAGAACAACATAAATTATATGTACCTATAGTATTTAATCTTTTTTCTAAATCACATATTATTTCTAGACATTCTGTCTCTGTTAAATTTTCCAAGTGGTTCAAATATAGTTTTCCATTAGGACATTCTAATTCTTCGAAAAGATATTCTGTAATATCAAGCTTTGATATATTCTCCTGCTGAGTGCTTGTATTAAAGGATTTGTTTGGTTGTGTAAAATAAAATTGAGTAGATGAAAGTTGGTCTGGTGTTTTGGATAAAATATCATTACAATCTTCATTACTTCTATTTGAAGCTTCTTCTATACTTTCTTCGTCTGTTATTTCTTCTTTCTACGTGAGATAATGTAAGTTTCAATATGTTTTTGTTTAAATACTACTTTAAATACTTCTTTTCATACTAACTTTTTGATTTAGTATTCGCCACATAGGATCAGCTTGAATTATATTTTCCCTTAATTTTGTTTTTATTGTTGTCAATTTCTCCATGGAATATTGAGACAATGTATAATTTTTTAAAATATTCTCCTGAATCATCTTTTTAACAATAAATCAACTTATAAATACAATAAGTATCTTCATGACAATAGAGAGGTTAACAAAAAAAAAATACTGTGCCACAGATACAGATTATGAATAGGCCTAACATATAATGTATTTTTTTACTACGATTTCGGGATCCTAGGATTCCTTTGCCATTTTCATATCATATCCTGTTATATCGATTTAGACAATTTTTGCACTGCACTAGTGATAAGAATTAAAAAGTATGAACAGTGTTGTCACATCTACTTTGTGAGTTATTTATTGAATTGAACATGGTGATACTTCATCAATGAAGGAATATAACGATTTAAAATAGCGATTGATGGAAATTAGGATGAAAAATTCATTATATATTTGATTATTTACATCTGTTTAAAAGTATTAGAAAAAATTAATTGAAATATATTTTTTAATAACATAATTAGATATGACGTTTTTTACTTATTTTAGTGTGTTCAGAGTGAATCCTTCAATTATAAAAACTTGCAGGATATTTCAATTTTCAAGATAATGATTGATCTAATCATGAAAAAGAATTGTTCAGTGATGGAAGAACTTTTCTTTGGCGAAATGTTCGAATTTTCGAGAAGAAAAGTATTCTTACTTTTACACTTGATGCGTAATGTAAAAATAAATATCTTTGAACAAAAAAAACTCCAGATTGTTAAAGTGACTTGACTCTTTAAAATAAAATAAAGGTTAATTGTTCTACAATCTTTTTTCACGAAATTATAACAGTTTAAAGTATTGACAATTTTTCAAGTATGAGTTTCGTTCTTTTTAAAGAATTTCTCATGAATTTTGTGTAATTGAGTTGGATCAAAGTTTTTTATTTTTCATTCCAAGTCAACATTTCGTGCGAAATGTGCGATTACAGCGCCCCGATGGTGAAATACGCAATATATGTACTTCCTACGATTCTCGAACATAATCGATATTTCTTACGATCGACTTTTAAACGGGAAGAATGGCGGAAGAAAGCACATTTCGTCTGTAAAGAAAATATTCAGAAAAATGTATCATCCAGAACCTCGCGTTAGATTCACTATCGCTTTTCGATACGTATTATCGTGTGCTTTCAACAATTTCTTGCTATGTTTAGCCGCATTTACGCTCTTTTATGCGTTGTAGTGAGTGTTTGTCGATGATAAACTTCTCGGTTTGTATAGTCGCGTATAGCTTTAGTACATTCGCGAGTGATTGCGATTTATCATAATTGTGATTTAATATAATTGTGTGATGAATTTATTGTTAGTGCGATCGTTATTTGGGAGACAGAATTTTACAGTCCAAGCTCAGTCTTGCGTTTTAGAGTCAGGTTTTAGATTTAAGTTTTAGCTTGGGCTATGGAACATCCATTTTCTTTCTACTGGATGAATAGAGAATGTTTTTCTGACATACACATAAGTACATAATAAAAAATGGAATAATTTTAGATACTAATCTCGTGTTTTAGAATCTGGAGATACAATTAAACATTTTGCTTCAATCATTTTACTTGGTATAGTCGCAGACGAGCTTCACATTTATTGAAAGTTTGACAACACTGTAATGGGTCTTAAAAATCATGTTGCTGGCGCATTCACTAGTTCCCCAACTCATCGTTGTTTAAACGTAGAGTGCGCTAAAAAACCAGTAATTATTTTTTTAGTATGTCGGTATTTCAGAGCATAACACGAAATCTCATAATATGCTTGATCTATTCATATACCTTATCTGTGACTGTGCGCGCTAACAAATTTTATTTAGAAGCAATATTGTCAAGAACAATGGTATAACTTTTTTTTTTCGAAATAACGAAAAGATATCCATCGGCCGAAAAACGCGTAAAAGTCGAGAAACTGTAAGTCTTTCAAAATTAAATTAATTTGACAATTTTAAATAAGAAAATTTTCCTTTTTTAAAATGTAAATTCTACACATAAACGTTTGATTTGAAAATATTTTACATTCGGAGATATCGTAATTGGCAAAGGAAAAATGCTTGTTAATATTGATTTCTGAAAAATTCTGCACTTTTGTTATTTCTAGAGGTTGATAAACAATATTCGAAATGTTGTTCCTTTGTTCCGAACATAATTCACAAGAATAAATCAAATGACTACAAGAATAAAAATAATAAAAAGAAATAATCATTTGCTTGAAAGCTAGTTATTCAGCTGGTCTGTGTTGCTAATTGTTTCTAGCGATATCGTCGTGAACTTTCACTTCTGGAAAACCCAGATCGCCTGATTTACCAGCCAGAAACCCGACATGTTTTAATGACTTTTAAAGTCATTAAAATTCACACTCGTGTGATTAGTATTTTTAATGGTAACGGAATCTATTTCATTTTTCATTTCATTTCTCTTCTATTACTTTTCTATACTGCTAACGACGATTTGTATAATAACACGTAATTGTTATAAATATTGGTATTCTAGATATTGTTGGCACAGTGTGTAATGCATCCATAATGAGATAAGATCTTGAAGTATAGTAAAGAAGTTTCCTGCTGTTTTGCTTAACTTGATATCAGATATTCAAAAGGAAAAAGGTAGGAAGATAAATCTATATAAAAAAAAATATCTGATATTTGAGCTAAAATCTCACGTCATCTCCATATCATTTATTTTTATAAAAATTAAAATGTATACAATAAAAATTATGTTAGCGTAATCAAGAAATTATCAAACGGATGTATAATTTGTTACATCCACGCTTTTGCTTTTTTTTTTTGTTTTATAGATTAATCATCATAAATCATTCGTCAATTCGACATTCATCAACTGTAATAATGAAAATATAAAATTCATATTGTGATACTTTCATTACAGAAAAAAGAGATAACGCGAGGAGATATTTCTTCTGAACGACTAAGTTTCGAAGAAAATGCCAATTTTTTCGAACTTGTCTCATCGATTTCACATGTTAACAACCGATGCAAAACCTGATCCACCGCGAATACCAATCGAGGGATATACGCACAATTTAGAATCGAATACAGTGAACGATGATGGACCAAAATCAAGGAAGTTTGAATCTGTTTCTATCACTTCAGGAGGACAATTAGAACAAAATGTAACATCGTCTGAAAAAAATGACGCAGTACCAATTACAACTGCTAAGTCTTCTACCAAAGAAGAAGATCTAAGTGATACGAAAACTTTTTCACAGAATGCAAATGAACGTAAAATACCGAATGCTAAAACAAAAACAAAGTCGAAACAACACAAATTTTGTAAGTATTGTTCATTCATTTATTTGTTAAAAGAAATCAAATTTGCCCATACTGAAATGATCGTTTTTTTTATTTTACAGCACAAGGAACGCGTATAGTGAATTATAATATAATTAATTCAAACGGTGTAAAAATTGGTTCGAGGACTAGTTATATTTGTAATATTAATCATCTTACTAAGGATAATGTTGAAGCAACAGAAGAACTATGGTCAAAAAAAATTCGACAAATGCCAGCAGAAGTAGAACGCTTGTGTGTTTGCACTGACGAAATTACCTTAGATGATATATTTACGATTAAAACTTATATTGGACATGGTTGGAAAGACGTCGCTAGGAAACTGTTCTATTCAGAGGGTCAGATTGAACAATTTGAAGAAAATTATAAATTCAGAGGCATAAGTGAAGTAAATTTAATTACAATATCCTTTCACGTTAATATTCTTTTCTATGTATTATCGCGAGTTTCTGTATTAATGATTATATGCTTAGGTAATTTATCAGCTATTTCTTGACTGGAAACGAGCTAACACAAAAAATGCAGACATTGGTAATTTGATAAACATCTTATGGATTTGTAAAGAATATGATTGCGCAATACGATTAGCTTCTGCTCGCAGTAAGTCGCTATAATGTTTCTATAATCTTTATGATAATAAATCTTTGAGCAATTTATCTTTTAATCGAATATATCCAAATTTATTGTTATATTTTTATATTTTTTAATTAAAAACAAAAATGTACTTATATCCAAGTTGTTTTATAATAATAATCAGTGTAAAAACTTAACTTCCAGTTTCCATAATATATATTCTATATATTATGTTTTGTAATATATATTCTATAAACCTGTTATTTTAATAAATAAATTGTAACAAATGATGTGATCTTTACACTCATATGTATTAATTGTGTTTCAATGTTTAATATTTAACTAATTCTTTCTTGTTGAATAACAATTAATACCGACATCAATCTAAAATACCATAAGTGACAAAGGTACTTAAGAACAAAGTTGCGGTAGCGACATGACAGATTTAAACAGATATACATATTTCAAATATAGATATTTCTTAGGATTATCAGTGCCCATAATAGTGTGGCATTGATGATTATATCGATATTTGCTTCGTATTTTGCATAAAAAATTGGTACAAAATTGATATATAAAACATACAGTTTTACATAAAACCTCTTACTATATAATGTGCATCTTCTTTTTAAATGCAATTACTTAAAATTTACATATAATTATATTATAAAACATAATTACCATTAAGTATGAATATTAAGTCTCTCTTTTGTCTTTATCTATTTGTCTAAATATAAATATATTCTTAGATAAAGATTCATTACATTGTACTTTTTGAAGAAATCTAAAATTAAATTAACATGTACCTGATATAATATACACTGATGTAAGAAACTTAAAAAAAGTAATAATTGAAAAATATACAAGAAATATTTACAAGATTATTTTTTCCCCGCTTTAATTTTTTTCTTCTTCTTTTCTATTGAAAATTAAATTTTTACAGTTTTCAAATTGTATGACCATTTCTTCTAAACTTTTGTTTCCATCTATTACTAAAACTGGTGCTGGTAAATTAAATAATGTTTGATCATGAAGCCACTCATCATGAATATTATGAAGTTGGTGTAAATATTCTAATGATACAGAATTTTCTTCTTTCCTTGCTCTTGTTTTCATTCTATTATATACAACATCTGGCGATGTTCTCAAATAAACTATATGTAATGTAAATATAATTGATTACTGTCAAATAAAAATATGTAATTTATATTGCATGTTTATGATAAGATACCTATTAAATCTGTTACTATATTGGCATTCTGTATACACCAATCATACCAATCTTCTAGAACCACTAGTTCTACATCCTTCAATAATTTTGTGCGCTTCATGTTTTCTATGAAGCATCTTGCACTAAATACTGATCTTTCCATAATTTTATAAGGCATTCCAGATTTGTACGTATGAAGTTGCAGCATTGTTAATTGTACATATGATTGAAACAAAAAGCTATAGCGTTTAGGGTCTGTGTACATTAATTCCTAAACATTTTCAACAAGTATTTATAATGTTATATAATTTTCAGATAACTATCTAAAAATAACAATAAATCAAAGATTCTTACCAATAAATTTGTTCCAGCAACATTACGCCAAAGTTCTACTGGTTCTTGTAAAACAGTTGTATTATCAAATTGTTTAAAATGATTTAAGAATGTTGTTTTACCACTTCCTATATTACCTTCTATACATACTGTAAATGGTCTTTTATAGAGTTTGGCAGGGCTGGTCATTTTTGTTAACACAACCAAAGTTTTGACTTAAAATACAAATACAAAAATATATTAATTTTTCTATTATATTGTTTCTTATATAGAAATTTTTTTATATAAAATATTTTTTTCTCTATATAAAATACAAAACTTTACACACTGATTGATTTTCATATACATATTAATTATTAAAAAATATCATACAAATGTATACAGCACTTAATAGATTTCCCGCGTGAATTCCCGCTAAAATCTTTCAGAGAGGGGATAGAACTCTCGAGAAATAGTAGCGTCGTAACTTGATTCGTTACATTACCTTTATATCTTTTATTTTATCCAATTGAAACTTACCTAGCGAAATCATGACTATGTAATTTTTATTACCACTCAAAATTACTTATTATTACAAATAAAGTTACATCATAAGAGATTAAATATTATATTTTATTTTTCTTCTCCAGATAATTTTTTTGCATTTGTGTGCAAGTTAACCTAACTTAAACTAAACCATTATACAGTTATATCATAGATTGACATATCAACGACTAAAATTGTGCTATTACATACAGTATAATTGGACAAATGTCACATTACATAAGTTAAAATATTATTTTACCATATTTCTAATATCAAATACAGATGTATTATTTTTATTACAAAAAACAATGTATCTGAAACAGTAGATATTTTTTATTTACTCATTATTTATTATCAATTAAGAGAAATAAATACCTTATCATTGATAAAAAATAAAATAAGATATATATAATTACATGTTAAAATACATTAAATTTTCAAATCTTTTAGACAAAAAAAAGAAACAATCAATAATAGTGTATGCATTTTGTGGCGCACATATATATATATATATA